TGTGGTCCTTGGTCACAACAGTCAAAACATCCACACCAATTTCTCCATCTCCCTACAGGCACAGGATCATGAAGGCATGACTAATGTTTAGTGCAGGAGGCAAGGAAGGGATGCACATTTGCTGACACCAGCTTAATTTTTAAATATCTACGTGCCTCCAACACAAGACCCTTGCTGTGAAATCCAAATTAAGAAAGCTGAAAAGAAAAAAAGCCAGGCATGCAAGCAGGCCTGACTATTCCTTGCTTCTTTTTATCCTCTACAGACACAAACCTTTTAAGAGTCAGGCAGGAAAACAGAAAACCCACACAAACACACAAAACTAACAGACCACCAATCTTAGCAATCTTCGACATATCCATAATTTCTACTTCATTTTTAGCTAATGATGGAAATTAGTCTTTGGATAGTTGATAAAAATCAACCTGATTCTGCTGGGTTAGTACTGTGATCTGTGGCCCAGCAACTACTTCTAGTACAATTGATTTTCCTTTTTGGCAACCAATAGGTCAGTCAATAATAATGTTGTTTGAAAAGGATTGAGTCATGAAGGAGATGAACCCTCCCTGCCATTTATTATGTTTGTATTGTCTTCATTTGAAAAGGTTTTTTTCTTTTTTTTTCTTTTTTTATCCCCAGTCAGGGAAGGTATTACAAGGGGATGGCTGCTCCATGTGTCCAGGAACACTCTGATCACCAGTGTTAGGATACAAACAGAGGAGGGAAGTTGGGAACTTGGAAAAAGACAGCCTGGGGAAGCAACCATGCTCTTCCTGTTACCCTAAGTGATTTAGAAGAGAAAAAAAAAAAAGAATAAAAACCCCAATCTAACTCAAAATATGCTGACAAGCATCATCTCAGTTCATAAATATGACTGAGCAGCCTTGCATGAATCAGTACAAGATACAAATCCAACACTGGTACCAAAAATCAACCAATGCTCTCTGCAGACAGCACAGACACCAGATGCTTCTCACCACCATTACTACTATATAGAAATGAATAAAATAAACCCCACATACTAGCAACAGACTTCTTAACCTGATGATTTTCAGCTTTGGTCTCACGTTTCCTTCTCAAACACCTGAAGGGTCCACAAGTGACTGTTGAGAACTTGCTGACCAGTGGTTTAAAGTCTTAGTGCACTGATCTGCACTTTACCAGGAAAGTGAAAAGTCAAGAAATAAAAACTGAACATCAGCTATAGCTTTTTTTCATCCTTTTAGCCATTATTACAGAAAAATTTCAGCACAGAAAGTTATTACCATAACATTGATAATTGCACAATGATGCAGTTTAAAAATCATAAAATACTTAGATATGGTTTAAATTCAGCTGCTCACAGGTATGTACACAGCTCTTAATTATCCTGTGTGTCTAATGATCCAGTTCCCTTTACAACTCACAATATTAATGTTAAGACTTGCTCACATGGCCAGATAAGCTTTACCACAGTAAGTGGAGCTGCTTAGCACCACTCCCAGATAGTTCCCCATACACTCCCAAGGGCATGACATGAACACGTGGATTATTATTTTGAAGTATGGAGTACCCACAAACAAAACAAAATGCAGCCACAGGAAGTCCAGGAGGAAAGTCTATGGTTTATGTCCCCCAAATACACTAAAGGAGCTCCTCTGAAAGCTGCTTGAGCAGCACCTCACATCCAGGTGCTACTCTCCCCATAGAGGAAAGGGGTTTTCCTTTGTTGCTCATCCTCTGCAAGGAAAATTCATGTCTTCTTATGTTTTAAAGCTAGAAATGGATATTAATGGATATCTTATGTTACCACTGTTATGCTTAAAACCTTTTACCTTTACATTATGTTACTGTTATGTTGCTGGTTTAGGCAAACAGTTCCAGTGAAGGAAGCTGCTCTCAGACTGAGTCCCAAGCTCTGGGTTTTTCCAGCAGAGCTCCAAAACATCATCCCACCACCCACTTTGACATGGCCCCTGGCACTGGAGATTTAGGTAATTCCATTACACAAATGCCCCTTCTCAACAAAGCAGAGCAGCCTGTTGCCTTTCTGTATCCCCTCGCCCATGGCAATTGCTTTACCACCTCTTTTCAAATGTGCTATTAGAGCTAATTATGAACAAGCAAAGAATTCAGTGGCTGCAGCTTTTCAGTGACATTAGCAAACCACCCTGTGGAAACTGCAGCACCACTGTTGAAACAAAAAGCACAGGCACTGGACCACTGCAGTCCAGGGGTATGGGGTTATTCCCAGAATTAAAGCGGGTTTGAGCATGCTACAAGAATGAGCAGAGCCAGGAGACCTCTCCTCCTGCTCCCAAAGCTGTCTGTTTATCAATAAAGAGCAATAAACTGACTCTTGCAGATCCTCTTGATTGAGAGACTGCAGTACTTTGACAATAGATAGTATAAAGGTAACTAAAATAAGGCAGGAAAAAGGTATTAAGGCACATCTACAGGCACAGTGAACAGGTAAGACTTGCTGCAGGTCACCCAGGAGAGCACCACTGTCACTGCCTGCTTAGGGCAGCTAAATCCCTTAGCACACTGCAAAAGAGCCAAGATGGAAGATCATTTATTAAAAAGGTAATGGAAAAGACAATAAATCTGTCATGCTGTTTGACTAACTATTTAGAAGCATACTAAAACATAGGCAATTAAAAAAAAAGTGGTCTGTAACATTCCTCTCCTTCACTATCTGCTCATGACCCTCGTAATCCCTAATTTATTCTTTATCTCTCATGCTAACCTGCATGAAGGTGCTGCTGCAAAATTAAACAAGACAGAAGAATTCCTGAAGACCTGGAGAGGTGGGATTGTGGAGGCTGCTTGGACAGAGGTGTGAAGGAAACCTCTGCTGGGAGCACATCACTCTGGAAAAACAGCATCACCCATTCACCAGATATCCCCTCACACTGAAGCCACTGTTCTTTACAGCCTACACATTAACTGATAGTGCCTTTGGTAATGTGTTATAGCAGGTGCTGTGGTGTTTATGGCCTGTTAGGAAACCAGAGTTTTTCCCTCTCCCTTTTTCTTCGGGTTTCTCTTAAAATTTCTCCTGTTTTGGATGTGAATTCTTCCCAGGTAAAGGCCAAAATTTAAAAGAAAATAAAAAAAAAATAAAAAAATGAAGTCACAAAGTCTTGGAATGTTATTGCAATTTATATATGGCTGAGAATAAAAATGTGTCTGTTCTCTCTGGGAACATACCTACGTGCAAACAGAGACCTTTATAAAAAATTCTCCTTTATTACCTTGGTGGGGAAAAACATATCAAAGATTGATTTTTCTTTTTATGGCTATTATTAACCTTTTGTTACCGGCCAAAAATAATCTGGTTAGAAAATGTGCAATGCATCAAAAAGAAAAGCGAAGAATTTAACAGAAAATTAATACTCAGGGGAAAAAAAATACAATAATTCTCTCTTCTGCTTTTTCTTCTAAGAGTCAGACTTTACCTCAAAAGAATGAGACAAGTGTCAAAGAGAAGAAATGCTTCAGAGAGAACCCAGAACCATCTCCCAGGCTGCCAGGGTGAAGGAAATGGGCATGTGCCTGATTCCACTCCTTCCCAATTTCAGTGCAAAGCTGTTCTGTCTGTATCCAACACACCATTCACTAGCTCTGACTGAAAGGAGATGGACAGGATGTGCAAAGCCCCACATTTGCACTGGCTTCACTCTACCCCTCTTCTGGGTAAGGAAGAACTCCTATTAAATCCATTAAAAGACCTAAGCACAAACACACACATCTCACCAGCCACCGCAGAGCTGTTCTTCCTCATATCCATCCCACCAGAAATTCTGCCCAGGAAAGGGCAAGACAGACTTTTTTACAATAATTTTCTGTGTGTGTAAATACCAACACAGCTTTCTGTAGCCTGTGAACATTACAGCTCTGCCCATAAGCCTTCAGATTGCAGCTCTGCTTCACATCCACCTCTTACAAATTCCTGAAGCATTTATTCAAGATCTCATCAGTAAGAGCTCAAAGATTCATCAGCAAAGGTGTATCTATGTCCAAACTGGGAAGGAGAGCAGAGCCAAAACGTGCCATGATGGTAAAGAGCAGGCAATCATAATCTGACAGAAATGTGTTGGACAATTATTTCTGAATATGACCAAATTTACACAGGTCAGCCCTTAATTACAACAAGCTGACAAAACTGGGAGTGTTGACTCAGGAGCACTGGCAGACCCAGGCTGGTTGGCTGGAAGAAACCATTTGCAAAGTGGTTGCTGAACCAGTTTAGGTCAAAATGTGGTCTATTTAGATACCCTAAAACTGGTGCTAGCTAAGCTCAGACATCTGGGCTGCAAATCTCAGTGGCTCAAAATTATTTTTTTTTTTTTCCCAGGTTACCTTTTTTGGATATTCTTACAAGGGAATCCCAGAATGGCTTGAGTTGAAAAGGATATTAGAGATCATCTAGTTCCAAACCCCTGCTATGGGCAGCAACACCTTCCACGAGATCAGGCTCCTCCAAGCTCTGTCCAACCTGGCTTTGAACACTTCCAGGGATGAGGCAGCCACAGCTTCTCTGGGCACCCTGTGCCAGGGCCTCACCAACCTCACAGGGAAGAATTTTTTTCCTAATATCTACTCTAAACCTACTCTCTTTCAGTTTAAGTCATTCCCCTTTGTCCTGTCACTATGTGATCTTGTAAACAGTCTCACTCCATCCATCTGGTAGGTACTGGAAGGCTGTAATTAGGTCACCCTGAAGCTTTCTCTTTTCCAAGCTGAACAATCCCAGTTCTCTCAGCCTCATAGGAGAGGTGCTCCATCCCTCTAATCAACTTTGTAGCCTCCTCTGGACTTGCTCCAACAGGTCCATGTCCTTCCTTCCTTCCCAGAGCAGGATGCAGCACTGCAGATGGGGTCTCACCAGAATGGAGCAGCTCTTCTGTGATAAATACCCTGAGAGAACTCGCTGTGGAGTTTTGGAAGAAGTTTCATGGAAACATTTGGTCAGGGGGCTGTGTAGCACATCAATTTGCCTCTGTGTTCCCTCTTACCTGGATGTTCACGTCGGCAGCGTTCTGCAACAGAACTGAAACCAGCTCCTTGTGTCCTCTGTCACACGCCCAGTGGAGCAGAGCTCGGCCCTGAAACAGCCAGGAGAAAATCAACAAAGCCAAGCAAAAAAAAAAAGCCCATGGAAAATCAGTCTTGCTATTAATTAGTAAGCATCTATACCAAAATTAACAGACTTTAAAAAAAAACCAAAATAATATTAGTATGCCACTTACTGGTGATTTGGACTTATACAATAATGCTAGAAATGTCAAAATCAACACATAGTTCAACTTTTTATTAATTTAGCACCACACCCACAAGCCAGCAAAAAATTTAGAGGGGAAAAGCAGCAATGTATGAAACACAGGAGCCAGCACATTATTTGTTTTCCTATATAGATTTAGGATTTTGGCACCTCTGACTTTTCTGGGAGCAATGACGTACACAGCAAGGGTAGGATATTCAGTGCTGCCTAAGTCACCTGGATGCCAAGTCTCCAAAAGCTCGTTCCTCTGGCAAGTTTGAAACACTCAACCTGTCTCTGCTGGAAGAAAAGACTAAAACTGGGTGTCTGGGCAGGCACCCCTCACTGTCCTCTCTTGGGCAGGCTGCTGCATCCATAACTCCCAAACCTCCACAGTTTTCTTCCCATCCCCTTTCTACAGGTGTCTGCCACCATGGGGTGGGATGTAATGGAAGTTCAGATCTTCCTGCACGCCCAAGGGCATGAGAAGTAGCTTAGGATCCGTGAGAAAGGTAACTCAAAGTAGTTTGAGATAGCAAACAAAGAAGAAAACCTTCTATGTACACTTAGTAAATTAGCCTTAATGTTCTATTAGTCTCTCCTGGTTTAGGACAGCACACAGCACACTTGTAGGGGATTTCTTGGAAATCACCCTGCAGATGAGCAGGAATCACCTCCCTCAAGCTGTGACACCATCAGACTAACCTGTGTTTTTCAATATGCCACAGAAAACAGTCACAGACCCTCAGAGAAGAAATCATTTAAATTAGCCCATGCCTGGTTATAAATCTCTTCACAAAGCAGTGGGGAACAAGGTGAGTAACTCATTTATCTGCTAATGGGAACTGTGAGCCAAATTTCCTGGCCACGGTGCCAGGAAGCAGGAGGGGCAGAAGACACCTGTGACCAAAGCTCACACTGCTTCTGCTGGATATTCCTGGGCAGGGCAGCAGAGGTAGAGCATGATTTTAAGTCAGGAAATTCACACTTTTTGACCCAGAGACTAATTAACTTTTTAACATGCAATTTTAATGTTACACTAATTAACCTTGCATTAGAATGTATTTTCTGACAGTGACTTTCTATGGATGCACTGATGACATGCACAGGCCATTTAATGATTCATATTCTTGCACTCAGCACCCCTACCAAAGTCTACAAGGGGGAAAGAGTACAACTTAAAACAATTGGTAAATATGGAGAGATCTTTAATTCATGTTTAGCATCGTTAATTTATCTCTGGACTGGTAATTACTTAGTATTTCAGTTGGACAAATACCAACTTTTTTCAAGCCACAGATGTTTATCTCAAAAGGAAGGGGCACATCTGCAATATACACAATAGCAATGAATACCTCAACAGATGATTACAGGGTCTTGATATATGTGTAGAGGAATAATATTGCAATTATTCAATGTATTTATTGCACAATTGCATGATAAAATAAAGTCACTTCTATCCTTTGTATCAAAACTACAGATTGCTACAGATTAGTGGCTAAAATATGTTGGTTTGCATTTGCCTCTGGACAAGGAGAATCTTATTTTATTGGTGCCTGAGACCAATAAAGGAAAATCAACAGTTAATTGTGAGTTAGGAGTACCAGGAATACTCAGGAGTACCAGAGCACTGTGCAACTGGTCCAGCCCATGACACTGGCAGGCTGGTGCTGCTACACATGGTGCCTTTTGAACAAGACAAAACCCTGAAGCTTGAACATCTATAGTCATTAAAAATCTCCTTGTGCTATTTGCAGGAGTATGGATTTCAAGTCTTGGGCCAATTCCACTTTGGGTAATTACACTCTGCTTACCTATATATTCTCTCTGCAACTCTAAATGGATACAATATTTTCTAATTAGTGCCTTAAATGGCTCTGCATTGTAATTGTGCACTATTAAACAGCTGACATGTTCCACCCAAGAAATATCTGCAGCATGCTATACCCTTGACATGGGGTGTAAGGGGCTTTGGAGACCTTCTGTGCAGGAGCACACCAGGAGATGGGGAAGAAAAAATACCTCCAGAAGAATCTCAACCTACTTATTGCATAACAAAAAACATTGCTACAAATTTGGTATTTAAAATGGTTGGACTTGATGATCTTGGAGGTCTTTTTCAACCTTTATGGCTCTTTGGTAATATTTAAAACTACTTGCAGAGCATCAGGCAAGTTAGCAATGGTCAACAGTTCTAGCTAACATACTTAGGCAGCTATACAGCTACAAAATCCACTTGTTTCCCATGTTTTTCTTAAAATAAACCTTAGTGATAAGACAAGCTTAAACTGAACGTACAGTCACAGTCTTTATAGAGAGGATATCACCTCTGCATGCTGAAAAACTCTTTAGTCTGCACAGCTGCTGCTTTATATCAGCATATAGCATGTGTTTGTGTGTTTAAATAACGTGGCAGAAATCTTAAGGGCCACAGATTGAGCTTTCCCAAAACAATTCCCACGTGACTATTTCATTAAGCAGTGAGAGAGACTCAAAGCAACATGAATAATTTCATGTAGGAAAGCGCTGCACCAGTGAGGTTTGGCTAGATGCAGTCAAACATCAAGGTATTCCCTCCCTGCAATTCAAACACAACAGTTGTTGCAGAAGTTACTTGAGAGGATGCATTTCCCCCCCCACCTTTGAAGTGTTTAATAATAATAAAAAAAGCACAAAAATAGCCCCAGTGCACTAACCCTGCCTCTTAAATCTTCTGTGCTTTGCTTGGCTAACCGCTGCCAGCTTGGCCAGCTCCTGCAGCAGCTTCTCAAGCCAACAGCACATCAATTTTGCTCAGCTCCAAGTCACAGGGTGTTCACAAACAAAGCACAGGACAGGGATTTGTCTCCCATACACCGAGCTGGCAGACAAATGGATGGGAATGATTTTCACATCAATTAGCTCGAGCACAGAAAGGGGAGAACAAAGCCAAACCGAATGGATGTGATACAGTATAAAGCTGCACTTCCAGGCACGATGTTTGCAGCTGTAATGGCTGGATAGCAATGAGCCACTCTAACTTGTGGCAAGTGTTCTATGAGCAGTAATTAAGAAAAGACAGATATCTACAGAATGGCTGCATCCCCCTGTGACAGCAGAAACAGTGAATGGAAGGGTTGTTGTTACAATTACACAGGTAAATTTGACTTGGAAGTCAATCACTTTCAGAGCTCTGAAACGTTTGGTGAAGCTTTCCTAATGGGAGAAGGCCTATAAATCCAGAAGTAAGTGACCCTTCTTCAAATCCATTTTCCCCCCCTGTCCTTTTCTTGGCAAGCTGGCACCGGTTTGGCTCTTGCTGTCTCAAAAGCACAAGGATCGGGGTCTAAATGAGCATCCTGTCAGATGCCTTTCATTAAAGTTTTGGCAAGGGCTTAAACACTGCACACAGGTAACATGTTTGTTTACTGGGATTTATCCAACAATTAAAAAAATATTATCTAGCTACAACCTCCACAGCCCTTGGCACAAATTACAAAAGCAACTCATCTCTGCCTTCGAGCGGCTCCTGGTTTGTTCCAAGTTGAAGAAATACTATTTTCAAACAGGCAGCAAGTGAGCCACACTCCCAGGATGTGCCTGGGGTGACTTCACAGCCACAGTCCATTTCTTATTCCATTAGTCCTGCTGACATACACAAGGAAAACAGGTTGCTTTAGTCTGTGCTACTTCTTATAAGTGAATGCGATTCTGCTGAACTCTGGGCAATTTAGATACAGTAAATGGAAGCTTGTACATGATTACTGTCATTAGGTTCTTTGTTTAATTCTAAATTGAAGTTTATCATATCCAAACTGTTAGCAGGTATGCTGGCTTGAATGTTGTACATGAAGAGCTTTACTTCTTGTGGGGAGAAGGCCACTTATGCTTTGGAAGTTTCCACTTATGTTTTTGGAAGTGCAACTATCTAAACCCCAGAATCTTCTGCTGCCCTTTCTGAAATCCTTTTGCTTTGACTAAGTTGGCTCATCCCCACTTTATATTTTTATTCTTGATTTCCTTTCTCCTTTCACTGACTACTTCCAGGTTTGCATGAAATGGGGGGTGGGATACAATTAGATGGAGTACTACCATATCACATAAAAATAAAATCTAAACACCCTACAACTCCAGCCAAGTCTTTATTGTCCAAGGAAAGGCTGAGCTGAGCGTCTTTGCAGCTTAGCGCGAGCCTATTTGGTGCTTCAGTAGATTTTGTTTCACAAGAAGTTAACTCTTTGTATGTACCCTGCTGACATTTTAAATTTATAGGCATTTAAATCAAAGGATTGATAGTGTGAATTATGTCCAGAAGCCAGGTGAGGCAACTTTCGGATTTGGCAGGATGTATTTACACAGTAACACTAAAATAGTCAATAAAAATGACAAGATTATGCTTGCATACACTTCACAAAAGGCTCAGTCTGGGTTATCTCTAGTCTAAAATGGGTTCTAAAACTTCAATCAACCTGCATGATATAGGAAAACAAGTCACCTCCCACACTGGGAAGAATATGTTTGAGTACCAAACACTGGTGATGCTTTCAGTTCCATAACATAAAATGAAACAATTATTTCTTTCAGATTCTTCCTTTTGGTATGCTATTTTTTTTGCATTTGTTGAGGTAAACCAAAATTGTTGAAGCTATGAGAATTTCATCTATAGGAAAATTTTGTCCCAGTGGGAATCCTCTCACAAGTCCTTCACAGGTAGGCAGATGTTTTTGGCTCCTGCCTGTGCTGAAGCAATCCCATACTCTGTAACATCCATCTGCTAATATCCATCAGTTAGAAATAAGACTTCTTCTACATCAGGGAATCATGGATAATTCCCAAAGAAGATACAATCTGGTAGTTTTTTATACAGTTTGGACACTTAAGCTTCCACAAAATATTTTGATTTTTTTTTTTTAAACAGTATTTTCTTTGTCTGAAAACAAGCACATTTGTTACTTGAATGGAAAGGAAAATACAAAGTGCACCTTGCCAGTGGAAACAAAGCAATGCTAACATGCACTTAATTGCAAGCATGTGATCCTAAAAATTAGCTTTTATTAATTAACAGACTCCAGCTGTATTTTTTGTGGGGCTGCTTTGGACATCTCCTTCTGTAACCTGTGATCTGCAGAAGGAGGATGGAGCCCAGAAACAGCACTGGTGCAGCAGCTGTGTGGCACATGATGGTTTCAGTTCATTGGATTTATGATGTGAAATTCCAGCCCTGATTGTGAACACCCCTCCCTTCTCTCCTCTGAAAATTAATTCACATGAATTCCTGATTAATAATAAAAGGCCCTGCCATCAGCATTCAGAGCCCCAGCCGGGGATGTCATGGCTCAGAGGGCAGAAATCTGCTTAGAGCTACAGGAGAACCCAACTGAATTTGTGGCGTCTCAGTCTATGAATGTCTAAGCACTTCATCTGTTCACCAAAACACACCGTGCTGGAAGGAGCTGTGCTCAGGCTGGACCAGGGGCAGGGCTAGGTGGCAGTGTGCAAGCAGGGAAACAAGGTAACAAACCTGGTACACCCACAACTCCTGAAGGATCAACAGGAAACTGCACCCACCACGTGTTTACACTTGCCAAAAAAAGGATGAAGCCAATTCAGTTTTAGACTGGTTTTTCTTGGGGTTTCTGGCAATGCCTGTATTACCTCCTTGTAGGGAAATGGTGTTTTGAGTTTGATGAGCAGAGAAAGACTGGACAATGTCACTGCTTTTGGGAAGCCAGTGTCACTCATTTCCCATCCATCTGAGGATGATGAAAAGCTTGTGGCATGTCAGAAATCCTCTTTCAACCTGAACAGACTTCATGGTCAAAAAAGCTGTTTCACTCACTTTCTACATCAATTTGACCACACTTAATGTACAAACTAGGGCAAGGGAGGTACTCAGGAGACCTTACTCTGCAAGTGGTTGCTGTTATTGCTGAAAATAATGTAGAAACTAAGCTTCTGATGTCACATGCTACATCCACAGTACCAGAAATCCAGTGGAAAGCTGTTTCCAAGCAGGTTACCCTGTCTCAATGACCAAGTGTTTGTCCAACTGTTGCAGCACCTTGTTACAAAAATCCTAACCATGGAATTCTAAAAAGGAGTAGCAGTGAATTAATACACAAAACAGATGAAAGATTGATGGTCCTTATCTTTTCTCCATACCTCTTCATCTGTGACATTCACATCCACTTTTTTTGATTGAATGGCTTTGGTTACATAGTCAATGTTGTTTTCTCTGCAGTAATCAAAAATGTTCTTGTCCTCTTCCCTATTCAGGAAACAAAAGCAAAAGAAGCACCATGTTACTGCACAACACAAAGGCCACATGCACATTATATGCTCTAACTTTGTTACAGACATTTCAGTGCTGTCATTGGATTGAAACAGGCACCTAGTACTGCACATGCAGAATAATGTGCTTTTCCCCACCCCCACCAAGTTAAGAAACAGAAGATTCTGCTTCCAAAAAAATAAAGGTTGTTTTTAACAGTATTATGTCCAGACAAATGTCAGTTTATTCCTGCGAAATGGCACAAAAAATGTATGAAGTTAGCCAGAAAAATCCATGTATGAGTTCTGGCATAAATCACTGCAATCCCACGCATGAGAAAAGGCTAAAGCTACTCTTCTTGTAAGAGCCACTCTGGGTCACACCAAAGCCCCATCCATCCTGGACAGAGGCCACTAATGTGGCTTGGAGAAAACAGCAGGACAAACAGGACACCTGCAACAATCTGTCCCTGGCTAAACACATGTTGGATCCTGGATACAACACAGTAAGTGCTCACTCAGAACTGCTTGCAGGCAGAAAAATCAAATGATGGTGCTACAGGTGCTTGAGTCACACCTACAGCTCCTCGTATAGCTAAAAGCAATACTCTGGCTTCAGACACAGTAAAACTTCCATCCTTATCTACCAAACAAACAGAACCTCTAGCAAAGTTAAGACCCTTCACAGATTCTTTTTAGGATTCTATTATTATTTTTAAGAATAATATCTTTAGGCATAAGTACAGTGATACCAGTGCACTGTTAGCAGGGAATAAAGAGGCCACTGGTTTTCCAGAAGTAAGCCAAAAGCCCATATAATCCTCTCTCTTTCTAGTTTCCAGATAAAAACCATGGTTCAAATGAGCCCATCAGCACTGCTAAGGAACTTGGCAGCTTCACAAGAGTTAAACACAGAGTCGTTGCCTCACATGACATCCCCAGTTTTCAATCACCTTAACTAAAGACCTTCTGGGTGTTCAGCAGAACTCGGACTGACAGCTTTAGTCACTCAGAAAAAAGGAAGCTTGCTGGAGCTGGTCAGACCCAGTAAGGAGGTCAGTCTGCTGTGGGCAGGAGAAATGCAACAGGGAAATTTGAGAACCAATCCCCTGATGCTAAAATGCAACAGCACTTCTATTAATCTGCATTGCTCTTGAACTCGCAGGCTGAAGAACTCCAGCAAGGAAAAGTAAAATCTAGATAACATCTGTGTTTCTGAGCAATGGGTTACAAACAAAGTGTCACTCTAGTCCCCTAAAAATGAAATGCCAGCAAGGCCATGTCCTCTGCTCCCATCAGGGCAGGCAGAGCCATGATCCAACTTTGACTTTGTCTTTTATTGTCATGCATCTACTGAGTTACACTCTGATTCTTCAAACTTCAAGCATCCGTGTCCTGCCACAGTGCCAGAAAAAGGTGGGAAAAAGCACTGATACTTTGCTCCAGTGACAGATCACTGCTTTCTCCAAAGAAGCCACTTTCCTCTGCCCTCCCTCAGTAGCACTGCTCTCCATCACACCACCCCTCCTCTTTATACACAGACAGTCCCTGCAGAGACACCCGAGCTGCAGCTGCTGCTCTTTTGGGAGCCACATGGGATTTTACACTCTGTGTTTAGGCCTAAGGACTTCACAGGAAGCTCCCAGTTTCTTGACCAGTTTGTCATGAACTCATTCGTTGGAGGTCTTGCCCGCTCGTTCCACACAAGCTCCTGGGAAACAGATCACTGCATGCTTTAAATGCAATTACCTTGAATTCCAGGAAAAAAAGAACCTCACAGCGGGATTAGAAAAGGCAAAAGCTTATAGTGCTCGAGATGGAGCTTGACAGACTCATGATGGAGGTCACAAGACATGTCTGCCCCTGCTAACAAAGGCTGATATGATATGCTGGGAAGTCCCTCCAGTCCTACCTTGTTAGTCCAACCTCTCCAATAGAACCCTGGCTGCTGACAGCAGCCTTTTGGGAGAAGCTGCTTTTCAGACAACGCTGTACAGGAACTTGGTTCCCCACTGCACTCCCTCATTTATTACAGATCCCTCTTTCTTCCATAACCCCAGCCCCTTCTCACTGGAGGGGCCCACAGCCATCCCCAGTTACTCCTGGGTGGTTTTCCATGTCACAACCATGAGCTTGGGCTGTGCCCTTCCCTCCCTGGCAGTGATGCCACCTGCTCATTCCACATGCTGCAGAGCCCTGACAGACCCCACAGGGCAGCACCAGAGGTACCAGCAGGGATGTGGCAGCCACAAAGCACCTGACTGTGCTCCACAGGGAGCATCTGCAGGGTCTGTGCCAGCAGAGAGGGCACAGCAGCCCTCACCTACCACAACCAGCCCATTTCCCCACCACAGCCTCCAGACAGGACTTTTAAAGTCTTTTCCCAAGGATATTATTGTCTGTAAGGGGAAAATGACCTGACACAGCTATTTGGATATGATTTAGTTTTCTGGAATAACCAACTCTGCAAATGCTCTATATATCCCCATTCCAAAAAACCACTTTTCTTTCAGAAGTCTCCACAATGGAATTAATCCAGAATACCAATTTCCCCACCCGAAGATAAGGTTTTGGGAAATTTCGTTCTTCTACTCTGCACTTATTTCTCTATCTTTAAACCATCCCTTTGCTCCTGATGCCCTCCTTAAAAAAGTTAAGCATATATTATATCAAATTTTTCTATAAATATTAACAAAGAGAAACAAGCCTTTTCCGGTCACAATGACTACAAATAAAGTAGTCAGATGAAGCTGCACTCCACACACTTAAAATAATCTGATCCAGCTAAAACCAGGAAGGGAAATTGAGGAAAGAGCTCAGAGGAGTTAAAACTTAGATTTTTTGAGGGACCAATACTAGGGGAGACATCCTTCTTGCGTGGTGTGAATGGAATAATGACAAATTACTGTTACTTGTCTCTGCATTGAAAACCACATAGTACAAATAAGAAACAGCTTGAAAACTTGGCAACTCGTTTTTTCCCCTTCCTTTACTTCACATGTGTGTATGTGTACAGAATAATACCTCCACCATAGTAGGTACAGGAAAAGAAAAAGGATGCAATGATTTTATCAGACCTGTTCCGAGCAGGAATTTGCACTCCTCATAAAAACGGGTAAGAGTTAGCAGCAAGGCCCAGAAAGTGGTAGAAACAGGCAAAAAACAGACAGAAACATGTGAGAAAAACAGAAGTGACAGTGCAAAGACATAGATAATGCTATGGGGGAGAGAACCTGTAGAATTTCTATCAGTATTTTCAGAAAAATCTCAATTTACATAATAAATACAGCATTCAGGACATCCATGAAACTCAACTTAATGGAGATATGCACAGTAATGCAAAACCTACAGCTAAAAGGAAGTCTTGGATGCAATTTTCTCTCCATGTCAGATTGTTGAGATAAAAAGTCAAAAGATAAAAAGACAATGTTGAGTCTTCAAGTCAGCAAAAGCACCTGATTGTCAGTAAAGGCAGGTAGAGTTTTTATATCTATTTCCTGAGGATGGCCAGAGGGTTTCTCTTCTCTCTTGCTGATGGTCCCCAAAGCTATTTCCTTGTGCTCTCCCCCATCCCCAGTAAGAGACGGTAATTCTGATTTAAAGATGAGTTGAAGCATACCTGTTGCCTGCAAGTAACACATGGGCAGCTTTTTCCATCCTTGAATAAAAGGATTTAGAAGAACTTAAACCAAGTCATCTCTCCCCGGGCTTAGAAGGCTTTGCAAGCCTTCTCCATAGGCTGTCCAAAACACACGTGTTGAGCCAACAGGTTTAAAACAGCTCATGGAAAAGATCTGCTGCCAGTTGATCATTTCCTTCTTATCTGGAGTGCTGTAAAACTCCTTGCTTTATAAACAGCACCAAGGCTGCCACTGAAAAAGTCAAAGAAGAGATCTGAAACTCACATTATTTTACCCTTGTGCAGACAATACCCTCTTCTCCAGGTTTGCCCTGTCCCCTTCCTCCCCCTCCGCAGGTTACCTCCAGCGCAAAGCTCAGGGCAGAGGGCTGAGACCAGGTTTTTTGGGCATCCTTTCCCTTTTTCCTGGGGCTGGTCCAAGGCACATCCCAATGGATTTGCTGTGGAGTGGCCCCGGGTGCCGCTAACAGGTGGCTTCGCCCGTGTGCTTGGCACGGCGCTGGCGAGCGAGCGGCGCGGCGGCGGAGCGGAACGGGACGTGTGCGGGGAGCCGAGAGGGCTCGCAACACTCACTGTTTATGTCAGGGCCCTCGGCCCCCCCAAGGGACCCATTTTCACATAATCTATAATTATCTCTTCGCTTTAATCGCCTCGTCACTTCGGAGGCTCTCCTGGGCACAGGAAGAGGAAAAGCTCATTAACTGAACCTTTTCTCCTCTCTCCAGCCACCCATAGCTTTTAATTGCTTGGTGTTGTTATTATCTATCAGTGCAACTGGGATCATTTTCATAAGAAAGGGTGGTGGGAGGGAGGGAGGCAGGAGCAGGTCCCTGAGGTACGCTCCACAGACAAACCTTTGCTTTCTCAATTATTTATGCCAGCTGAGGTTTTACAAGCTGAATAAATCCATAACTCAAGTTTATTTTGAGCCGGCAGGCCGTCCCGAGGGAAGTGTTGCCCACTTGACGGCACACTGGTGTGCCATCCCTCCGAGAGCCGCCGGGACGTGGCGGGACGCGTGTCATCCAATTCCCCACCGCAGAGGAGGCGGCCGGGAAAACGCCGAGTGGGAGCGACCACGGAAGGATGTGCTCTCCAAAGGGAAGGCAGTCCTGAACCCTTTGCACAACGAAGCAAAGCCCCAAAGGTCACTGCTCCAGGGACAGTAAAAAGGGGGGAAGCAATAAACTTGGCAATCATCTTGAAGTCAAAAGATTGGTCTGCTGAACATTGGTCTGCTGAACACTGACCTGAAAAACCCCAAAATCCCAGCTGTCAGGACCAGCTGCAGGTGTTTTGCCTGAGCACTCTGTGGGCTGCCTGGGCTCCACAGAACCAGGAAAGCTCTTCCATAGCCCAGCATTTGAGAGTGACACGTGTGGTGCAGCTACCCACACGCACAACACCAGCCTGTAATTCCCAATACAGATATCGCATGTCTCTGCAGCTTTCCACTCATTTCCAGTGCTGCTGTTCCCAAAAGCAGGGCTGGAGGGAGACAACAAAACCCCAGCCCTGCTCTGGAGCACTGGGCTCATCCCAAAAGCCATTGCTGCTCTGAAACAGCATCCTTGCAATGGATGCTGGAAGCAGCTCTTTAAAATTCAGCAGCCTTTGTGCCTGACCACATGCAGCGACCTCTGGTATTTTCTGCCAAAACAGTTCATTTGTCTCACACAACAACTAATCAATTCCCAGGGCCATCCATCATGGGGGCTCTCACGAGCCGGCCCGGCAGCAGGACCAGATGGCGGCTTCGTTAGTGGGATTAATACAATTCTGATGGATTGCACGGCATCAGGCAGGTCCTGCACACCAGGGGTGCCCGCTCCGCACCCACATCCTAAATTTTTCCCCACTCACGATTGGGGTTGCTCCCAAATGTCTGGGGAAGGGTGGTAGTTTCGACCAGGAAAGGGCTTCTTCAGCATCCCTGTGGATGGGAGAAGTGTAAAACACAGCTCAGGGAGGCCTCTGTGCTGACTGGCAGATGTCATTCCCATCCTGGCATGCCAAGGCCCTGAGGAAGCAGATCGTGGCAGAGCGCAGGAGGGCTCCTCCAGTGGAAGTGGAAAGGGACACGGACATTTGGCAGCGTTATTTCTCATTCTCCAGCTGCCAAATCAATGTATTTGTTTCCTGAAAACACTTATAAACTGCTTACTCTTTGCCTCGGCTTTAAAAGAAATACTGAAAGATAAAGCTGGATTTCCAAGGCTATGGCATTTTTGGCGTATCTCTCAGATTGTGTCTTAGATGAGATTTATACTGCTAACACATCAGTCAACTTCAGATCACTGGTCGTGTCCCAGGTTTGTGAACCTCCAATGATAGTGCTTGGATCACAAAAGAGCTCCACTACTACTGCTTTGTTCTGGTAATAAGACCAGAAAAGGGACATAAAAGCTTTATGAAGCAGTAAAAAAACAAACAAACCACCACTATACCCAGCTTGAAATCACTGATAACTTCTAAATTCTTCCTTCCAAGGGAACCTCGGAGTCCCATCATCAGTCACCAGCATGCAGGAGTTTTATGCAGTGCCCAAGGGGAGAGAAGTGATTTGCAGAGAAACCCAGAGGCAGAGCACTATGCTAATACATCCTGCAACTGCTCCCCATTACTCACTGGGGGTACTCGAGCTCTTTATTGCAAGGGTTTATTAATGACTTCTAATTGATGACCAGTGCCCAGTACCCCAAAGTAAATAACTGCTACACCTCATTAGCTCAAGAGACCTTCTCCTGATTTGAGAGCTGATCTATGAACACACAAATTGCACTGATTTAACCGAATCTCTTTCTAAATTGATTTAATTAGATCGGTATAACCTGTTTCTGTGGATGCTCTTGAATTTATTTAGAATCAGTGCAATGTGCTGTGAGCCAGACTGACCATTTTTCTATCTTGTTCTCAATTAGAAACGTTTGAGATAATTAGTGATAAGGAAAAAAAAAAAAAGTGGCCCTGGCACCAGCCATGTTCCTCCTATTGCTAATCCACGTTAGGGCAGGGTATGGTAACTTCACTTAGTCCATCCTTTACAGATCTGGATCCTAAACCCCCAAGTATTTCATTCCACAAAAGGAATGTAAGTACTATTTAGGCATAATTTTAGACACCCAGTTTGAAATCAATGGCACCACTGCTTTTTTGCTAACTACTGCTGATGGCAAACTAGGGGTTTATTTTGTTTAAAACAAAACCTCTGCTCTTCAAACAACACAGCAACAGCTTGAAGGGCTTTAATCATTTATGATAAAACTGTTCAAAAGGTTCTGGTAAAGAATAAAACAAGTGAACCTGCTTAGGTGACCCTTCAAAACTCTGCACCTGGATTCTTGTCTATCTTCTGGTGCAAGCTGAGGTTGTGGCTCCAGATAAATCAGCAGCCTTTTCCTGCCTTTGGATCAGCAGAATCCTAAAGGGCACACGGTAGGCTGTGTTTGGCAGAGTAATACCTGCTGAGAAATTGCTCCCAGCAATCTGTTAGGGCTGATGAGGACTCGAGTTTTAGCTTTTAGTATACAAAATAAGGGGTTTTTCTTACTTATTCTGGGCTTCTTTAGTGATCCTGTAACAAGAAGATACTTATCCCATCAACAGAGCTGGGAAACAAACTAAAGTGGTTTGATTTCTATTATTTACATTTTTGCAAGCTTGTTGCAAAGCTTCAGACAAACCCCACCATGCAACTGAGTCAACAAAAGAGTCTGCATCAAAGTTTCTTTTCTCAGATAGCAGGTGTTGAGAGAGCACACACATACACACACTGAACTGACAGCAAGAGACTTACCCGAAACTACCAATGTGTGAAAGCTTATCTTGGCTCAAGCCAATCAGTTTCCTTTCCCCTTAAAATATTTCACATTCTACCTCTACAGAAAGTGCCTTAATTTTTTTAAGGCAATATTCTGTTTTATGAAGTATTACTGAATGTTAAGCTTATGTTTTTGTAAGTAACCACTCACAGCCTCACAAAAGTCACCCTTCTAAGTTGAACCAATACTTGCTCTAGACAAACTTGGACACCAAACCTAATGTTTAGAGCCACTCCCTCTTTGGTTTATCTGCTTGATTGGTTTGGTATCAGAGCAATTTTGCTGTTTAAGGCTATGCTCTTATTAGTGGAATTATCATACCAGAGATGTGCCTATACTTGCATGTTTATTCCCTATTCCAGGAAGAGAATGAACAACAGACAAAAGAACCAGGAAATGCAAAGCTGTAAAACTCTGTGGGTAGATGATGGTGCCACTTGCTCATTCCTGTCTTGCAAGGAAGACACTGATGCCTGGGAGTCAAATTGTGCTGACAGACTATACGAGTTTCCACTCTGCCAGCAGAGTCAGGACACTTCATTCAACAAATTTCAGCAGAATCACCCTTTTCCAGTTGTGTGGGAGACTACACTTGCCTACGGCCTCATTTGTAAGGACAGCTGTGCTGTGTTAAACAAACAGCACCTATGTTCCCCATGGTATGTTTGGGAAAAAAGTATTTGCAGCTGTATTCTTGGAAATAAAAACAAACCCACGAAAAGATTTAGGCTGGTCAGGTCAACCAGAGCAAATTCTGTTTTTCTGTACATTATGCTGTATTTCAAACCCAAGAAAGGGCATAGGCAGCACTTGGGATACCCAAGACTCTGACAGCACTTTAGGGATGTGCTCTACCCCTAAAAGGAGAGCTTGAACAGGATTTAAACCACAAAGTCAAACTGTGAGATCAAGGATGTTGGCTGAGACCTGCACTGCTAGAGCAGGGCCAAAAAAGGAGCTGCAGAAGCACCATTCCTCAGTGTGTTAAACCAAGGTCACACCTGACCACCTCTGCTCAAGGGCCAGGGCAAGTCAAAGACGTGTTGGCTCTCCAAGCAGGGGAAGGAAACCATTCCTGGCCAAGTACTCCACTCTAAAGTGGATTGCAATCCTGAGGGAAATGCCTGCATTACTGCCAAGCACCACAACTGCCACCCTGCCTGCTTACAACAGCTGCCTCCATTCCTACCTGAGCTCTTTGCAAAGGGTTTGGAGCCACCTGATCAAGATTTCTGTTCTTTGGGTTGTGACAACAAGTCAAAGAAATGCTGTGCTAGAGTTTTAACTCTTTAGGTAAGTTCTCAGCTGGAGACTGCATGTCCTGAAATCAGTGTTTACACTTCCTGGATGTAAAAAGATGCAAGACATTAATTAAAAAATGGGATCATACACATGTAAATGGGTGACACATGTCAGGAAACACTGTCAAAAATTTAGTCTTCTCTGACTGCTCATTTTAACTAAAAATACAAGACGGTATTCTAAAACTTCCTCCACAAAATCACTTAGATATCGCTGTTTAATATTATATCCATGATTAGTAGCCTGGAACAGAAAAAAAATAAATAAACCAAACAAAAACCATCCAGGTGTCCTTATTCAGTAGCTAATGTCACTTACTACTTGCACCTTGACAGTTTTAAGTAGCAGCCACTCTAGTTCAGTAAATGCAGAGCTGGCTTTTCTAGCTGGAGAGCCCAGAAAAAAATTAATTTGATATAAGGCACAAACTGTCCCTGAAGGCAAACATTGTCCAACACTAAAACCTTCACTGAACAGTCCCTAATGAATGTATTGGTAAAGAAATAACTATTTGGAAAAGGTAGTGCCTGAATAGCTTTCTATTAAAAATATCCAATATTACCTTTTTTTTTAAGCCATATAACTGAAAAATGGGAAGCCTTGCCCTTCCCCCACATCTTGTGCTAGGGAAAGGTTACTACCTGGCAATGATACAGGCAGATATTGATTTAAATGATTATGGACCTGAAAAGTTCTTTCCTGTCATTTATTATCCTACTGTAGCTGCCACCTGATAAGGAAAATATTAAAAAAAAAAAAAAAAGCAAAAAAAAGCTTAACAAAATGACATTAGAAAAACACTGTTTTTAACCGAATTCCAACACAGATAATCACCTGATTATTTCTTCTTCTTGATATAATGAGCTGATGACTGGGCCTCCAAATACAGTTTTGCTTTCCTTTCCCCTCTTCTCTGTTGTCTGAAAGAAAAAGAAAGATTGGTCCAGCATCCCAGCTCCCACCATATTCCCAACTCTCATTCCCAGCCCTGGCCCCTCAGGACCCAAAAGCTGAGCCTCTGTGAGGCAGCATAATATTCTGTTACTAGATTGCAAAACTTGCCTTTATAAATCTATTTAATATAGATTTAAAATTAAATTTTATAATGGGCAGCATTTCCAAATGATTTACTCCCAGGAACTCTAGGATTCTGAATGATTCCCACCATAATAGAAATGAACAATTAGAATAATGATTGATCGATATGGAGCCCCAGGCCTACCTTTTCAAAAAAACCTTCCTGCAGCCTGGGATCTTCAATTGCCTGACTTTTCATTGATGCCAGACTTTCAGCAGGGGTAAGTGCCTGCTGTCTGAAAGCCTGACCCAATTAGGGGGTGCAGGGAACCAGAAACCTCAACTCTTCCACGGCATTAAGTATTTTGGTTTTCAGATAAGCAGCCAAAACTCGTTTGGAATTTGCAGCAGCAATTCCTTACAAAACCAACCCATTAATTGCAACTTGCTGCTGCCAGTGGACAGGTCTGAGGCTTTCTGTGATGGCAGTGTCACACCTAGGGTGAAAAAGGTCAGGAGGAAAGTCCCAGCCTCTTGCAAGTTCTCTGTAGCTGTATCACAGAAACCTGGAATGATTTGGTTTGGAAGGGACCTTAAAAATCACCTAGTTTCACTCTCCTGTCATGAGCAGGGACACCTAGACCAGGGTGCTCCAAGCCCTGTGCCACCTTGTCTGGAACACTCCCAGGCCAGCCACAGCTTCTCTGGGCAACCTGTGCCAGGGTCTCCTTACTCTTCCAGGGGAGAATTTTTTTCTGATAATCTAATCTAAACCTACTCTCTTTCAATTTGAAGTCATTCCTTCTTGTCCTGTCACTCCAGCTATTGTAAATACTCTTTCTACTTCTTTCTTGTAGATTCCCTTCAGGTACTGGAAGGCCACAACTGGATCACATCAAAGCCTTCTCTTGTCCAGGCTGAACAATCCCAGCTCCCTCAGCCTTTCTGCATAGGAGAAATTCCCCATCCCTCTCATCAGCTCCATTACACCCAAAAGCATTGCTGTCCCATCAGAATTCTACCTAGAAAGATGTTGATTTTTTTTATTTTTAATAATGCATTCTTACATTTGTCTTCCTGCTCCTCAGGTTGCTTTTGTTTTAAATCAGTGTACTAGTTCCCTATAGCACATTTATTTTTACATTCTACCCAGCTTGAGCCAACCAGTTCCACCTTTCAGTTCTCCTGTAGCAGCCCAAAGCCATAACATTGGGTTTGCAGATATCACAGACATGCTTCTTTATAAAAACACATGGAAAGGAAATTGCCTTTGGTGACTATTCCATGGCAAGTAGGCTCTCTCTAATTTAGAGTAGAAGGTGACATGAAGTTCTCCTTTCTTCAAAGGAAAGGGCTTCAGAGTCTTTACAGTGCAGTGCCCCTCTTAAAAAAATTATTTAGCAGGGAACCTTACTGTCCATCAATTAGATTCCACTAATAAAATAAAATTAATTTCAGATCACCTGAAAGTGCACAGAAGAGTTATTCCTATACAATGAAGTTATACTCACTACTAGCCTATCCTGTTTGATACTGAGGGATGATGGCCATTCAATCAGTGTCAGGAACTGCAAAAAATTTTTAATCTATATTCTTTCATCTCTTCCCACTCTAGTTCTTGGTTGTTGCTTTTATTCCTAGTCAGAAAAAACATTTGAAAAAATACATTTAATCTTTCTAGAGGCAGAAATTGTTAAAAAAAAAAATTTCTAGGATTAAGTTCACCTTTTTTGCACAACAAATGCATTTCTACCAAGGATTAATCATGTTGATTGAGTACACATAAGGTCACTGGGAAACTTAGTGATAAAGGCTTTCCCAAAAACACTCAGGCAAAAACTTCTCTGGCTTTTAATCCATATACAAGTTACTTTGTCCAAGTAGCTTTTATCTCATCTCTTTCACACAGAAATAAGTAATTCAATATTCAATTTATGAATGTTGAAGCAAGCTTATTCCATCACAGTCCTTGATATGTCGAACAAGTTTATTTTCCTGGACCTTCTTCATATTCTGTTTTCTCAGTATTTAGCCATGAAGACAGAGAAAAGGCTCCACCATTCATCCTCGCTGAGCTTTCAAAGGGGAATATGTCCAGGCTTCCCAAAAAAGTTGAGTCTGTTGCAGCACAGATACAAACTGGTTTCTTTCCAGCTGCCTTTGACAACCTGCCTGTCCATGAGCTCATCTGACCACTTCCAAAATCCTTGCTGCCCAGCCTGCCAGAACTTCCACGCAATATCTGAGCACGATGTTCCAAACTCGGTGACACAAAAAGAGGGGGAAGAAGCAGCAGTTCCCTCCAAATCACGTCACAGCTACTGACATCACTGACAGCAACTGGTATTTTTATTTGTTGCTCATCCTGGCTGAAGGGATCAGTAACACACAGATGCCCTTTTCCTCCTTAAATCTCTTGACAGTTGTACAGCAAAAAAGGGTTCTTAGGGCTACCTAATGCAGATAATGACTAATGAGTTTAAAGTCACATTACCCTGCAAACCACAATGAAATTAAAAACTGACACAGCAAATTTCCTGTCTCCTCTGTTAAAAAGGCACTGATAATTAACTATGTGGCTCTCAATTAAGCCAGCTCCATTTCTTTCACTGCTGGCAGCGCTGTCCAGAAGCACTGCAGATGCACAGGTAATGATAGTTAAGGAACAGGACAATCCAGGGCGTCCATAATTTGGAACCTGAACCCAAGGGAGATGAGAGCTGTAGATCTGCAGTTGGACCACGCAAGAGAGGTGCTGTAGGAAAGGCAAAATTGCTGTGGACTCCACAAGAACAAGACATTACTCTTAAAATGCCAGTTAAAAACTGTGGGAATAAAGAGGAATTTGTGACAGCATGTGAAGACACCCTGGAGGATTGTACCTGTGTGCCAAAGCACAGGCAGTGGCATGTAAGAAATAGGGGAAAAGACGATAGAGAAGTGTAAGACATGCCTTAAACAGTGAAATTTCTCATGTTTTCCCCTTGCCCACTGATCCTTTGTGGCTGGTGTACAATTAGGGCTGATGTCAAAGTCACTGCTGCTGTGACAGTTAACTTTGGTGGGCGGGTCTGGCTGGCCAAAACCAGCATAAATCAGGGGCACATCGGGGCTTCAGTATGCAGCAAACGTACTGCTGAAGAGACATCTTCAACTCCCCTGACTCCAGATGGGCTCAGGGACTGGTGCAGAGAACTCCACTAAGCCCAGAACGATCCTTCTCAAATGTCACCAGGAATGCCAGGAATAAAACCACAGTCCTCCAGGAACAGACAGTGGAGCATCCTCCTCCCTGCCTCAGTGCACTGGATTTGTCAATAAGAGCCCAGCTCGATCCAAGGGACAATTGCATCCCGGCTGGCTGTCACTGGCAATGCTGCTCCAGGCAGCCTCAAAGCCTGACAACCACTTTTGGAACAAAATGGAAATACAGGGACTAATATTTGCTAACATCATTAATTCTTTTTTTTTCCCCCCACTCCCCCTTCTTCCTTTATCCACCATGTCAAGATGTATACTTTTAAATTGTTGTCAGCCATAAAACAGACGTCGTGTCTCAGTTCAGAGGTTAACATATAATGACAGACACATTAAAAACCCTGTCCAATGCCTCACTGAAAATTTCAGCTCCATCTTCTCTTCAACAAGACAGTGGCTCAAACTCACTTATAAGCTTTAACAGCATTAAAGCCTAATCATGATTGAAAAATAAAGGAGAAAGAGAAGATGGTTTTATCATAGTAAGCATTATGGAAATGCAAAACAATTAGAGACAAACATTTTCTTTGTGTGGGTTTTGTCACAAAACTCTCCTGTGATTGCAAAATGATCCATTTCTCCTTTGGCATTTTTGGGGAGTGGGATGAAAATTATCATTTAAGAGGAGGAGCAGTAGTTTCCTGATGGGGGTTGGTTTGGTGGATCACTCTCCTGCTCTATCCCTGAAGAAAGGACTGGCATGGTTTGTTTTTCATTTCCACACCCAAGCTTTGTTCCAATCTACAAAGCTACAACAGATTTAACAAGATGGCAAATTCATGGGTCCTCCCAATGACCCACTTCAAGCTGGAGAGCCAGAAGTAGCCATAGAAATGCAAATGAACTCACTTTCAGTGATTAGCTGGGATGGAATGGGGCACAGCTATTTACATGCAGGGCAAGGGACTCCTGATTCGGACAAGGAAGGTACAGAGAAGACTACAGAAATACTACAAAACAGCAGGAACAGCACAAGTTTCAGTAAAGCCTTTACAAAAATGGAAGACCATAATTTCGAGTTAACAGAAGAGCTAGATCCCAAGCATGGGTTAAATGTAGGGCCACCCCAGTTTTATGCAGAGCAACATGGGAACTCTGCCTGGCTGGTTTTGCATGGCCAGACACCCAGCAAATACAGCAATAGCCATTTGGCAAGGCACGTGGTTGTGCTGCACATCTATCATCCCCCCAGTTCCCTCACATCTCGCTCTGGCTTTTTTCCACACCCAAAACCTTTAAATAACTTCTCATAAATACATAATTAAGAAGAAGAGAAAGGCGTCAGCAAAAAAAGGTTCATCTCATCAAAATACTTATCTTCAAAGTTACCCTGAGTAATGCCTTAAAATGGTCAAGACTGAGGTTTTTCATCATCACACACCTTGGAAATAGAAAAGTGAGACAACTTAAACAAGAGTGATGTATCAGGATCTCACACCTGAGCCACCACACCACACAGAAGAAGTCTGCACTACTTATTGTATTGTTTTCCTCTTCCTCTGAGCCTGATGCAGCTTGAGTCAGAGCAGCAGCTGCATCCAGCTTTGTGGGATGCAGACAAGGAATACTCCAAACAAAATGATTCTACTCAAAGCTTCTCAAGCATTTCAGCAGCAGCAAATGCGTAGTGCAGAGTCCAGTCTGC